CTCGTGGGGAGCACTAGGAAGGAAGACTCGATGGTGGGGCATTCTCATGGGGGGCACTAGGGAAGGAGGACTCAGTGGTGGGGCATTCTCGTGGGAGCACTCCGGAAGGAGGACTCGGCGGTTGGGCATTCTCATGGGGGAGCACTCGGGAAGGAGGACTCGGGGCATTCTCATGGGGGCACACAGATTTTTAATACAGTAGGTTTTATGGCAATCTGTAAGTCTGACGTTAGTAACGGCTGGCGTAGGTGGAGAGGACTGCCTGTTTGGGACTAAATGAGGATTGAGAATCTTGGCAGAGGCCAGGCTTGCCTCATACTGTCCTCCATCCAGATTGAAGTGTCCTGACCCGTTCATTTTCACAAGTCCAAAAGCAAGTAAATAATTAACTCTGCATGTCTGCCCTGCAGCTAGCTGCCCAGATCATGTCTATGAAAGCCTGAAATTCAGAGATCTTACTATGGGATCTCTGGACCAAAGGTGTGTTTATGGATTATGTAGTTTGCATTTTCTTGACTTTAAAAAAACAAGCAGATGGTTTAAACATAAGTAACTATAAGAGGCAGAGTTTTTGCCTGTTCACGTCATTGGTTTTATTAAAAATTCCTAACAAACACATATTGCTTATTAGTTTACCATACAATTTTAAAAAGTTTTCTTACATCTTGACCAACACAGTGTGTGGTCTTTTTGAACTTTGTCAATCTGAGATGAAAAAATGGCACCTTGAGATAATTTTAATGAGCATTTTTCTTGTTAAACAAATGAAGTTGAACATTCTTTCATGTCTGGCCATTTTTCCATTGGGTTGATGGTCTTTTATTGACTTCTGTAGCTCTTCAGGTAATTAGGAATGTAGCCCTCTGTTTTTAACGTTACAAAATCTGAAATAGAATATTTTCTAAAACATGCAAGTATATTTTAAGGAATTACAATGAAGGGAGCTGAGAGCAACCACCCCCCATGCAGGTTAAGAAACGGAGCATTGTCAGGGCTAGGGCCTTGTGTGTTTCCTCCTCCCATCACCAACCTTTTATTTTTAAGTAATATTTTATTGAGTTTTTGGTGAAGGTTGACATGGCAGGTTAGGTTTCCACATTTGATGTTTGACAATTTCCACACAGATTGTTCAGTGACGTTAGTTAAATTTATCACAATGTCAACATTCTATTGAATTGTGTTGTTTGTTCCGTTTCCAGTACTCTGGTTTCCCTGCCTCCTTATCTTCTCATCTTTGCTTTTGAGTAATTGTTGCCCTTCTGGTCTCCTACTGATGGTTTTTAAGTAGAGCACCAATCTTACGGGTAATATGCTTTATTTTGCGGGCCACTCTGCTATTTCACTAAACAGCGATCTCAAGGATAGGCTTGGTTCTAGGTTTAAACAAGTGTCTCAGGGCGATAGCCTCAGGGAGTCCTCTGTTCTCTACTGTTGCAGTTTGTCTGTTTTTTGTTTTTTAAGTAAGAATTTATGTTCTCCGTATTTTTCTCCCATTCTATCTGGTACCAACTGTTGTGAGCTTGACTTTTGTGATAATCATTCTCAGTCCATTTTGTGCATGTCTCTGTAAGCAGTACAGTTTAATTTTGCAAGTTGTTGAACTTTATATGTATGGAATTTGTGTTCTTTTTTAAATTTTGTTGTTGTTAGGAATATCCAAAGCAAAACATAAGCCAGTTCAACCGTTTTTACATGTACAATTCAGTGATACACATTCTATTCTTCGAGTTGTGCAACCATTCTTATCCTTTTCTGAGTTGTTCCTCCCCCACTAACATAAACTCACTGCCCCCTAAGGTCCCTATCTAATCTTTCAGTTGCTGTTGTCACTTTGCTATCATATAGATCATTCCTAAAAGAGCGTAATGCTCAAGGCAGACATTTTTACTAGTTAAGCTAAACTATTGTTTGGTTTTAAGATTTAAAGATTATCTCAGGACAATAATTTCAGGGGTTCAGCCAGCCCCCTTGGCTCCAGGAAGTCTGGAGTCCACAAGAATTTGAATTTCTGTTATGCATGTTCCCTGTTTTGATCAGGATTCTTCTATGAGATCTTTGATCAAAGTATTCACTAATGGTAGCCGGGCGCCATCCAGTTCTTCTGGTCTCACGGCAGAGGAGGCAGATGTTCACGGAGGCAGTTAGCCACACATTCCATATCCTCTTCCTAGTCCTGACTCTCCTTCCTGGGTTGTTTCAGGCAGAGACCCGTCATGCTTTCGATGGTGGCTTGCAAGCTTTTAATACCCCAGGCACTATGCAGTGAACTAGGAGGTAGAACAGAAGCACTAAACATGTTATTAGGCCTGTTGACTAGGATGTCCTGTGAAACCAGGACCCTAAACCTCCAAACCAAGGAACCAGATCCCATGAGGTTTTTGGTTATCCATAAACAGCCAAATTTGTACTTTCTTTTTGTTGGGTGTTGTGAGATGCATCCATGTTAGTGCCTGTAACTGTAGTTGGTGGTTTTTTATTGCTGTTGTGGTGTATTCACACAGTGGAAGACCAAGCTCTATCCATTCCACTGCTGATGGACTTGACCATTCTTACAGACTCCTAGAAGTGTTGCTTCTAGGTGGAAGGCTATGCACAGGTAAAATTTTACTAGGTAATGTCATTGTTTTCCAGTGTTGCTCTGCCATTGTTTACACGCATCAGCAGTGTGCAGGTTCCTATTACTGTACATTCTTCTCTGCCTTGGATTATGTCAGGTTTGTTCATTTTTGCCAATCTGGAGGCTGTATAATAGTATCTTGTGTTTTAACTGATTTTTCCCTGGTTTCTAATGGAATTGAACATCTTTTAAGATGTTCAAACTTTTCCTGTAAAGTGCCCACTGAAATCATTTGCCCATTTTTTCCTGTTGGGTTCTTTTCGTTTTTTTTTTTTTTTTTTAAAGATGGATTTGTAGGAGTTTTATATGTCTGTAGGAGCCCTGGTGGCACAGTGGTTAAGAGCTCAGCTGCTAACCAAAAGGTTGGCAGTTCAGATCCACCAGCTGTGCTTGGAAACCCTGTGGGGCAGTTCTCCTCTGTGCTGTCGCTCTGAGTCGGAATCAGCCAGTGGCGTTTTCTGATGTCTGTATATACTGAATGTGCCCCTTGGTTTATATGTGTTGCGGGTATCTTCCCCAGGTAATGCCTTGTGTTTTCACTCTTCTGTTGTCCTCAATTTTAAAATGTCTCTTATTTTAACCTTTTCTAGAGCGCCAGTCGGAATTGCCAACCCAGAGTAAGGCTAGCTTCCCTAGTATTCTCAGTGACCCAGACCCGGATTCTTCCAATTCTGGATTTGACAGCTCGGTCGCCTCTCAGATCACAGAAGCTTTAGTCAGTGGACCAAAACCGCCTATTGAAAGTAGGTACACGTGGATTAATTTCATACCCTTGGTTTTCTTGAATCAGCATCCCCGTCACTTGTTTTCTGAGATACCGCATTATTTTCTTGGTTACTTCGCTTGGGTTTAACATGAACCTTTTTAGTACAGTGTCTAGAACGTAGTAGAGGGCTCGGTAGAAGTTTCTTCTTACAAAAATGTACCTATCGAGTGTTTTATTAAATACCATACCTATTGTCGGTAAGAAGCCTTGGTGGCACAGTAGTTAAGAGCTCAGGCTGCTAACCAAAAGGTCAGCCATTTGAATCCACCAGCCGCTCCTTGGAAGCCCTATGGGGCAGTTCTACTCTGTCCTCTAGGGTCGCTATGAGTCGGAATCGACTCGACAGCAACGAGTTGGTGTTTTTGTTTGTTTTTTTTTTAATTGTCAGTATACCTGAAGATATAAATTCCCTGATTTTACTAAAATGGCTCAGTTTTTATAGTCTATGGTCTTCTTGTTTTTATACCTTTATGAATCATATCACTGTCATCACCTTTTCCATTTTCAAGTTTTACTCGTCTTATTATTGTTGATTTACTTTAATTCTAAGAAAATACCTACTGAATTTGTAATAATATAGTTGCATCTTATGCTTTTGTAGGTTTCTCTGGCTTTAATGATGAATGCCGACTTTCTGCTTAGGGATAGGAACTTCCTTTCCAGATTATAGTGCCACCAGAAGTTTAAAATTTACACGGTGACTTTTTATGCCGTTTGGTTCACAGTAGATCTTGGATGTAAATGGATTTACTATTTAAAGGTTCAGATAGTCGCAAGTGTTCCTGAAGGTCTCTGGGGCGTGTAATGATTTCTGTTTAATATTTACGTTTTCAGTATTTGACTCTGAATTGCATGGGCCACCAGCAAGGTGTGTGAAAAGCACATCCCTCAGATAAGTGAGTCCAGCCATCCCCATCTCATGGGAACTGCCTCTTTCTCACCTAAGTGGCCATTCTCATGAAGTGTTAAACACTTTCTTTCTTTTATAAATGGCCTGAAAAGAGATTCAGATACAAATTATGGTGATATAAGTGAAGAGACAGTATGAATGTATAAGAAAGCGATTCTTTGCCAGAAAATAAAGTTTTCGATAAATTAGAATATAGTCTCAAATTTGGCAAGAGGTCAGATCCATGCAAGGAATAAACCAGCTTATGCCCTAGGTTGGAACCCAAGGGGGGTGTGAAATTGGTCCCAGCCAGCATTTATTCTAGTAGGCTTATAACTTAGGGACCAGTCTTGGTTAATAAAATTGTTAAGAGGTCTCGAGTCACTTCGTTTTCCTGTTGTACTTTTACTGTCTTGTAAAAATGAATATGGTGTTTATGACTATGGGGATCCATGCAAGTCTCCAGATACATTAGAGAATGTCACAAGCCAGTTATACTTTTTTTCTCCTGCTATTCTATCTCCATGTAATTTGCTACTTGAAGGTTATAAGATGCAAAGATATGACACTAACAAGTCATAGTGATCGCTGAACAGTGTTACATAACTAAGAATAAGCTTAACGAAGACAAATCGCATTTTTTCCTTTTTCCCATCAGAAGACTTAACACCAATCTAGCAGTTGTACCCTTCTGTTCCCAAGTGGTGGTCATTCCTGAATTAAAACTGTCGAGAGGATGCGATGCTTGTCTCTCCTCTTCAAAAATTAACAGATTTGTTCTCTGGCATAATAATGTTTTGTCCGTGTTTAATTTTCTCGTTTGTATTCTGAGTGAAATCCTGACTTTCTATATCATTGCTCCTTCTGATTTTGAAGTTTGAGAGCTTTATCATATTATCCTTATTAAAAGAGGCATTAGTGTACTTCACTCAGTGAAATGTGTGCAATGTATACTTGTACGCATGTCAGCTTCCTGATAAAAGCAGTCAGATATTACTATCATTACAGGCCATTTTCGGCCAGAGTTCATTCGCCCTCCACCTCCACTCCACGTCTGTGAGGATGAGTTGGCGTGGCTAAATCCAACAGAGCCTGACCATGCAATTCAGTGGGATAAATCAATGTGTGTTAAGAACAGCACTGGTGTAGAGATCAAGCGAATAATGGCCAAAGCCTTCAAAAGCCCTTTATCTTCTCCTCAGCAAACACAGGTATGTATTTATCGCAAGCATTTTCTCCTCTTTAGCACGTGAAGAGTTTATTCATTTTTATTCTTCCTAAAGTGACAAATAACCAACAGAATAATACTGTCAACATGAGCCAGCACATAGGACGTCTCAAAGGTCTTTTGGATCTCTGCAGCTTTGTTCCACCTTCCCCTTCTGGTACTTTTATTCTGGCTGGGGAAGGAATCTGTGACCGGTTTTGACTCTGGGAGAGGGGGATAGGCTGATCTCCCTTTCTTTGCCTGCTTCTGCTGTCTGGGACTAGGCACTTCGCATACATTGTTACGTTGAAACTGGACAGTAACTCTTCTGAGAGTGAGTGGACTGACTGACATTTGGGAGAGGAGGAAGATGAGGTGCAGAGAAGTAAACTAGTTTCCAGGTCACTCAGCTGGTTAGTGGTGGATTAGAGATTAAACACAGTCCCTGTGGCTTAAATGTAAGATGAAATGGCCCACTGTAGGGAAAGGCCAGGATGATCTTGTGGAAGGTTTTTGGCTGGTGGATTTTATTCAGTTTGCATACTTTCAAATTAGGATTTATTGGGAGAAACATCTCCAACCTGGTTTACCACCAGAGCTACTATTTTCAAAGTCGAGTCATTACCTTTGCAGTTCCATTCACTCTGCTTTACTAGACAGTCCTGAAACCCAGTCTGCTATGGTGCGTACAGATAGACAGGAATAAGAATAAGAACGTTTAAAAGAAAAAGCACTTATTTGGCACAAGAAAATATTTTTGAGAGTACCTGTTTGAATTACAAAGTGTGAGCGCAACTTGAGCCATGAAACACTGCAAACTGAAGAGTTGAGCAGAGGCGGATCTCCTGCCTCCGCCCTGCGCCCTTCTCAGCTGCTCTCCTCTGCCAGTGCTGGGCTGGGCCGCTGTTTCAGATGTCCCTCGGTTCTCTGTGGTGTGTGCTTTTCAGGGGAACTAGCTGGTAATTAAGATTATTTTTGGTTATAACAGATGATAGAAAAAAATCGACAGAGGACTTACAGGACAGTATTGTTAAAATATTGAGTCTGGTTTAATGTTCAGGAAGAGAATCACTAGCATGTTCGTAAAGTGCCTTGAGATGTTTCCATTCACTGTTTTTATAATTCAGATGTAAATTAAAAAATACCAGGACATGATGATTCGTGGGTTTGAGAGAGGACGTTTATGAAGTTGGTTCATTACAGCTAATTTTATAATTTTTGTTTAAAATCCTTGTTTTTTTTTGCATACAGGGATGAAAGAATTTCTAATTTTACTCAGGAACCTCTCTTTGTTTGGTTATTTAGCTCCTGGGTGAGTTGGAAAAAGATCCCAAACTTGTTTATCATATTGGCCTGACTCCAGCCAAACTTCCTGATCTCGTGGAGAACAACCCTCTAGTGGCTATAGAAATGTTGCTGAAACTGATGCAGTCGAGCCAGATAACCGAGTATTTTTCAGTCCTAGTCAATATGGACATGTCCTTACATTCAATGGAAGTTGTAAATCGGTAAGTCTCCCTCTGCCAGTTTTCTCTATTTGATCAGTGTGTGAGCGTATATAGAATCTGATTAAATGGTCAGGAGGAAAAACTAGCACCTTTTTTTTTTTCCTGATACTATCTGTTGGCCTGAGATAGCCCGTCACGAGATAACCTGAGCCTTAGTGTTCACTGCGTGTGAGTTTAGCATGAGTTGGAATCGGCTCAACGGCAGCGGGTTTGTTTTTTTTTTTTTTTGTTTGTTTAGTAGGCAGTCTGAGACGGTAGCCTTTCAAACATACTTAGCATTAGTAGAAGCATAAATGAAATGTAGTGGCCAAAATTTATTTACTTTACACAGTTGTCTTCTTTATCCCTGGACAAGCTCAGCTATTACATCCTTAGTGACGAAAGGCTGTAGCATGGAAAAGTATGCGTCATGAGATCTGAGAGAATTCTGGGTCGGGAAAGCCGGTGTATTGCTTATGCTCTGTACAGTGTTGCGTGGCTTATTTGCCACTCACTTTTTATGTTGTTTTCCTTACAGATACATTCTAGGTAAATTATGGATTTTATAGGCTTGTGGAGGTCAGCTCGGGAGCCTGCTGGATTGTTTCTATATAGGGTGGCTGTAGGCCCGGGTTTGCCTGAGATAGTCCTGGTTTAGGTTTGTTACCTGCGCTCTCATACCTTTGGTGTCCTGTCTTTGGATGGTAAATTATATGGTTCCTCGACTGTGTGGACAAATCCATTCTGAGTGTCCAACAGCTAAACTTCAGCGAAAGCACTGTTTTTGCATTGTAAAGATCTGTGTGACACAGCTGTGGCCATTGCGACAATCTGCACGTGTACGACGATCATCATGTTGTTCGGTCATACTCTGAGCCGTTCCCGAGTTCTCCCATCACCTGCATGGAAGCTTGGTGTCCCCTAAGGATTGAGGCCTTTCCCCCGTTCCTAGTAACCACTGATCGTCTTTGGTCTCTATCCCTTTGCTTACTCTAGATATTTCATAGAAATGGGATTGTACAGTGTTTGTCTTTGTGTGACTGACTGATTCGTTCAGCATGTTCTCAAGGCCCATTCATGTCATAGCAGACATCGGAACTTCAGGTCTCTTTATGGCCGAGTAATATTCCATTGTATGTGTGTATCACATTTTGCTTATCCATTCGTCTGTTGATGGACATCTAAGCAGTTTCTGCCTTTTGGCTACTGTGAAAAGCGCTTCAGTGAACATTGGTGTACACGTACCAGTTTTTGAGTCCCTGCCTTCAAGCCTTTTGGGTATATACCTAGGAGTGGAATTGCTGGGTCATATGGTAGTTCTATGATCAACTTTTTGAGGAGCTGCCCAACTGTTTTCCTCAGCAGCTGCACCCTTTTACATTCCCACCAGCAGTGGATGAGGGCTCCTGTTTTCTCCACAGCCTCCCCAACACCTGTTGTTTTCTGGTTTTTTGGATCACAGCCATCTTGGTGTGTGTGAAGTGCTAGCTTATTGTGGCTCTGACTGCATTTCCCTAATGACTGATGAAGGAGCCCTGGTGGCGCAGTGGTTAAGTGCTCAGCTGGTAACCAAAAGGTGGGCAGTTTGAACTCACCAGCAGCTCCACGGGAGAAGAGGCCTAGTGATCTGTTCCTGTAAAGATTACAGCCTTGGAAACCCTACAGGGAAGTATGAGTCGGAATCGACTTGATGGCACACAATAACAGCTACTAGAGATGTTGAGCATCCTTTCATGTTCTTGCTGGCCGTTTGAATATCCTGTTTGATGAACTGTCTGTTCAAGTCCTTTGCCCATTTTATCTTTTTTGTCTCTTTGTTAAGTTGTTAAGAGTCCTTTATATAGTCTGGATATTCAATTGTTATCCAGTATATGGTTCTCAAAAATTTTCTCCTGATCTTTAGGTTTTCTATTTACTTTTTTGATAAAAGTTCTGAGTGAACAAGGGTTTTTAATTTTCACGAGGTCCCGTTTATCTGTTAGGCCTTTTGTTGTTCACGCCTTCAACGTCCCATCTAAGGATCCATTGCTAACAACTAGGTCCCGAAGCATTACCCCTGTGTTTTAAGAGTTCTGTGGTTTCAGGTCTTACGTTTAGATCTCTGATCCATTTGGAGTTAGTTTTCATCTGTGGTGTGAGGTGTGGGTCCAGGTTCTTTCTTTTGCTTGCTTTTTAGCATCTATTTGTAATTTTGGATTTATTTCCACCTACTTGAAATGGTACTAAAGAAGATATCCTTTTAACCCAATCAACTGGTGAAAGAAATGACCATTTTCAGAAAAGCCTGCCTGGACCCTGAGTGATGGAGAGTGTGTGCAGAGGTGGAGGGTACACTCTCTCGGGGGTGGGAGAGGGAGGAAGCATGCGACTTTCAGCTTGTTTTTTGACTTTGTCAGCTTTCGCTGGCAAAACCGGTTAGCTGCTTGTTAAAAACGTGCTGTTTCTGCTTTCTCCTTGTTCGGTTAAGACTTGTATTCAGTCAAGTCTCACTCTGCTCTCTGGGCTAAATTCTGTCCAGGTCCTTTGGACTGATTAAACTCTGAGTGGTCACACCTTACCAGGCATTGGGAACTGAGTCCAAGAATAACTGCATCTTTTATCAGGATTACTCTATCTCCCTGGTTATCTTTAAGTTTCAAGGACAAGGTCCTGGTATTCTGTGTCATCCCCCCCCCCCCCATGCCTGTCATATTGTATCAGCCATGAGTGTTAAACTTTGGTTGCTGACCCACACAAGTGACTTCCAGTGGCAGTGTTCCTGGGAGCATTCATTCATTCCTCATTGCCTTATAAAGAAACTTCTGTGGTCACATAAGTTAGAACATGCAGTATGTGTGAATCTTCGTTTGGAAATTCATACTGAATGTTGGCGTAACAAAGGCTCTGCAGTAAAGGAACACTGTTTAATGTAACCCAGTGTTTTCCAGACTCATGGGGGCATGGAATACCCACTTGCACCCCACTTTGGTTGAGTTTTTTTGTTGTTTCTTAAATCATTCCATGGAATCCTTTGGGAAATACAATAGTCCCCCCTTCACCGTGGGAGATACTTTCCAAGACGCCCCGTGGATGCCTGAAACTGCAGATAGTACCGAACCCTATATATCCTGTTTTTTCCTACACACATCTATGATCAAGTTTAATTTATAAATTAGGCACAGTAAGAGATTCACAACAACAGTAATAAAATAGAGTAATCATAATAGTATACTGTAAATAAAGTTACGTGAATGGGGTCCCCGGGCGGGACCCTACTCATTGGACATTTTCAGACCCTGCTTGATTGCAACCGTGGAAGGCAAGCAGTGGATAGAGGGGATTACCATGCTAGCTTTCGCCTTCAAGATTCTGAAATCTGCCTTTCCCGGAACGTGCCGTGCTGGCGCAGCCCTGAGCCTTTATTTGGCGTCGTTCCTCACTCAGGAGCACGGCTCCTTGGGTTTCAGTTCCTCAGGTGCCCTTTTAAAGACTTTTCCCCACTCTTCTCACCTACGTTACTCTTTCTGCAAACCCCTCATTGTAGTACTGAGTTATGTATTGTACTTCTTAGTTAACTAAACTTACACTTTCCTCACAGACACACTACACTGCCTTCATTGCACTTAAACAGGTAACAGGAGTTTAATAAGCATTACTTAAATGAATATAATAATTGCCAGTATTATTAGAGCTTGGAAAAGACGATGACTTATATTTTAGCCAAGAGCACACAGGGACATAGTGCTCAAAAAGTAACTGTTGAATGACTGTGACATGTAGTGCTAAGTACAGACTTAAAAAACGGGAAGAATCATTTGTGAGTGAATGAGTGTGGCTCTTAGGCTGATTTGCCAGAGTGTACTTAAAACTAGGCAATTGGGTCATATATCGGAAATTTTCATCAAATGACCAGGGGAAATTGCTTTTTTATGATTAATACTGAGTCATTTTTTAAATGTTAGCAAATAAAACTTAACAGCCTTAATTTTCTGACTTTTTAATGAAACAGACTAACTACAGCTGTTGATCTACCTCCTGAATTTATCCACCTTTATATATCCAATTGCATCTCCACTTGTGAGCAAATTAAGGATAAATATATGCAGGTGAGTCATAGAAATTTTTGTAAATTCTATGAATGACACCGACAAAATGAACGCACCAAAAACACCGTTTGTTTTCCAGAATCGTTTGGTGCGTCTCGTTTGCGTCTTCCTCCAGTCCTTGATCCGCAACAAAATTATTAATGTGCAGGACCTGTTCATAGAAGTGCAGGCGTTCTGTATTGAATTCAGTAGGATACGAGAAGCTGCTGGCCTCTTCCGGTTGTTGAAGACGTTGGATACTGGGGAAGCCCCTTCTGAGGCTAAAATGTCAAAGTAATACCTCGTGGGAACGATGCCATTTATTGTTCAGCCATACTGTGGTTTAATTTTCAAAACTGTTAAAACCCTGCGTGGATTGCTGGGTCTAGTGCATATAACAACACTTTATCTACGTAAAGCAAAATTTTACTTTCATGGATGAGTCCTCCCTTTAGATGAATTTTTGGTAAGAACTTGGAAAAATGTGTCTTTGAGGTGTCTTGTTGATAATTATCCATAGGAGGAACAGTTATCCCAGAAAACCATCACTGCAAACGAGCAGGTGAGCCCTGAAGAGCAGAGTGGCTGTTTTTGTTTAAAAGTCACGTTACAGGATTCTGAGAATTCATGAATCCCGTTTTTCTGAGGTTCCAGTGCTGATGTATTTCATGAGAGTAAATGAAGACATTCTTAAGCATTTGTGATACTGTCCTCGATGTGACCCAAGTCGAGGGGTTTAAAGCCTCTGGGGCCAACAGAAACTTGCTTCTCGAGTCCATTTACGCGGGCGGCTCCGGACTTCTCGTTAAGCAGCATCTGCACCAAGGACATCTTGTAACTTTACCCCTTCTTATCGCGGGGACTCACTCGACCAGAGAGTGAGCGTATTCCTTGGGAATCTTCCAAAAACATGGGAACGCTCAGAAACCTTCTTCTAGGCCAGAATAGCTGGTACAGTTTTCTGTTGTTGTTCTTTTAATCCTCTGAAGACATTTGCTAGTTCTTCTGTTATTAGAATAAACTAGTCTTTTTTTAAAAAAAAAAGTTTTTTTCAAAGAAAAAACATCAGTTAGTGCTTTGAGAGGCAGGAGCACCACTGAGGAGTACCATTTGAAATGGCTTGCTGCGTGGGAGCTGTTCTTACCCCCGTGTCTGCAGTGGGGCAGCTGACACGTTTTGAGAAGCATCAGGGTGAGGCGGTATTGTACGGACTTTATTCTTCACTGAACTCTTGGACAACAGTGCCTTACATTAAAGTTCTTTTTATAATGAATTCTGTTGTTTCATTTACTGCAGTATTTCCAAAGCATATTCTTGATAGAGAAAATCTGTTCAAAAGGAATTACCTTCAAATCCAATCTTTAGCAAAAGTTAAAGAAAACCAACCCTAGTGATTTTAAATAATTTCCAATCTAGTAATATTGGAGAAAGAGCAGTGTGCATCTAGATTTACAATGCTGTGTATCTAAAGTGATGGTGCCAACGACAACATTGTTGTTTTCCAGCTTTCTGACTAGAAAAAAAAAAAACTCCCTTAGAATTCAGCTTCGACCAGTCTCACTGAATAGTGCTGCTTAGTCCTCTCAGTTTCTCATTGGCTTGCCTATCAGCTTTGGGAAAAGAAACAGTTCATTATTAAAATGCTTTTTGGTATGACAGTATATCAACCCAACTTAGCTTCCAGGAACTACAGATTCTCTGACATTTAGCTTAGTACATTTAGCAGGCGGCTCTTCCTGCTTTTCAAACAGGTGTGGTGCCCGGCCCGATCGTGAAGAAGCCATGAGCAGCTCTGCCACTAAAACAAGCTCGTGCCACCTGTACAGATCACGGGATAGAGAAGAGGGAGCAACCGATTATTCTTTCTATGCTGAATAAACAGGCCCAAAGATTGAGTAACTTTGCAGGGATCACACACAGGGTTTGGGAGTGAGGTCGCCAAGGAGCTGCTGAACTGAAAAAATGTTGACTCTCCATGCATGTAATAAACCTATTTATGTAAAATAGTTCTTTAATGAAGTTCTGGAAGTTAAGTATGACTCAGATTTAATTTTGGTATTAACAGCGTTTCTTGGTATCTCGCCATCTTTAGGAAATGAGGTTTCTGAAGGCGCTTGGCAAACCACAAAACGCAACTGTTTTATAAACCTGAGTGTAAATCCATGTCTGTGTGCAAGCTGTCTCTAAAGGGGATGGGCCGGCTGTTTCCCGAGAACAGCAGCCCGCAATGCTTTTCCACCATTAAGTCGGGATTTTAACTCTAATCTGTGGTTTAAAAGTAGGACTGTTGCAAGTCTGATTTTCATCATGCTAAATATTTACGGTGGTATGATATCCTATTTCAGCATTAAATGTAAAACCATACCGTGTGTATGATGCTTTGTAAATAGCAAAGACTATCCGGGGGACCGGTCTAAGCTGAATTCTAAGGGAATAGTTGATTTTTTGGCTGGAAAACTGAAGAAAGTGATAGTGTCACCACTAGGAATAGACAAATCCTTGTTGGATGGCGCTGTCAGAATCGTGATATACTGACTGTGGTGGAGGGGTGCAGGGAGCTTTTAGAAAACAGCAATATGATTATACAGTAGAACCTGTGTAAGGTGGAAACCTGTCAGAAGGAAAACTCACTGGGTGTTTAGGAGGTAGGATTCTTAATAGAGAGCAACGGAAAGGTGGTAAGACTGCATCCTGTCCAAGGCAGTCCTGTCGAGTCCCAGCTCTCACAGGTTTCAGTGTTCTTGGGAAGGCAAGACCTGAACTGGGCTAAATCAGAATCCAGCTGGGAATGTGGTCTGGAAAAGCACACCCCCTAGAACGAGTAACTCCCGAGAGGGGACCCCACCAGCACCTACATCTTAGATGCTCAGAAATGATGCCAGCTTCAGGAGGGAAAGCTGCTGAGTGTTCGCGTGGCCTAATGTTGGGAAAACACTAGTCAGGACAGCGGTTCTCAAACGTGGGTGTACATCAGATCCCTGCCCCGCCCCAGCTTCTGATTCCGCAGGTCTGAGGTAGGGCCTGAGAATCTGCACTTTTGATGTTGAGCCAGGCAGCATCCTTCAAGAACCACTGATAACAGATCAATAAGGATTAAGTCTGCCAGAAGTACCCTGGCATGTTGATTTTTCTCCTGTCAGACTGTAAAACAGTACAACATGAACATTCATAATTATTACAGTTGGCCCTCCGTATCTGTGGGTTCCACATCTGTGGATTCGGCCAACCATGGGTCGAAAATATTTGGAAGAAAAAAGTTCCAAAAAAGCAAACCTTGAATTTGCTGCGCTGAGCCCTCTGAATCCGTGCAAGCGAAGTGCTGTGTAGGAATCCCCTCACGGCCTCCGCCATCTTAGCGCTGGGTGTTCGCACATCGTTCACCTCACATTTTTATCCCTTGAACAATACAGCGTAACAAGTGTTTCCACAGCGTTAGGTATTAGAAGTGATCTAGAGATGATTCAAAGTACACGGGGATGCACGTAGGTGATACGCAGATACTACGCCACTATATAAAGGACTTGAGCATCCAAAGATTTTGGTATCCGAGGGGGATCCTGGACCCAATCCCTCACGGATACTGAGGGACAACTCTAAGTGATGAAGGAGTGTGGTAGACGGAAAAGGGAATTCAGAGACTGGCATTTGAATCCTGGTTACCTTTTAAAAAGAAAAAACCAAACCAAACCCGTTGCTGTCGAGGTGATTCCGACTCAAGAGTGACCCTACAGGACAGAGTAGAACTTCCCCATAGGGTTTCCAAGGAGCACCTGGTGGATTCAGACTGCCTACCTTCTGGTTAGCAGCTGAGCTCTTAACCACTATGCCACCAGGGTTTCTGGCCTCTTTATGAGGTAAGTCTAACTGATGCCTTTGAATTGTGGTGTTGGCAAAGAATATTGACTATACCATGGACTTCCAGAAGAGCGAACAAATCTGTCTTGGAAGAAGTACAGCAAGAAAGCTCCTTAGAAGTGAGAATGGCAGCGTTTCACATACTTTGGACATGTTATCAGGAGGGACCAATTCCTGGAGAAGGAGACATCATACTCGGTAGAGGGTCAGTGAAAGAGAGGAAGACCCTCAGTGAGATGGACTGACACAGTGGCTGCAACAATGGGCTCAAGCGTAACGACTGTGAGGATGGCGCAGGAATGGGCAGCGTTTTGTTCTGTTGTACAGGGGGTCACTGGGTCGGAACCGACTCAATGGCATCCAACAACTCTGGCACGTTCCAGCAGAAGGAAATGCTACTCTCTGTGTGCATGGACCAGAAACCAAAAAACCAAACCTGTTACGTCAAGTTCATTCCAACTCATAGTGACCCTACAGGACAGAGAAGAACTGCCCCATAGGGTTTCCAAGGAGTGGCTGGTGGATTCCAACTGCTGACCTTTTGATTAGCAGCCCAGATCTTAACCACTGTGCCACCAGGGCACTGTGCCTGGACCAGAGCAGGTGCTGATACTTTTCCCAACCCTCTCGCCTTGTCTGCATGGGCTCAGTCTGAGCACTAATAATGTGATCTCAGATCAGTAGTGTGCCACCTAGTCCAAAGTCTTGTGTGACATGAGTTAAATCATGAAATTTGGTACAATTTTTAGTGCACCTCAGCCAAGTACGCTGACTTACAGAAGCGGGCAGTGCCATTTTATGTTGGATAAAACAAGGGGCTTTTCCGCCACAGTTTCGGCTTTCAGCACTTTTCTAGATAGTGGTTCTCACGTTCAGGCGCCTGCTGGATTGTCTGGGGCTGTGTTCAAATGTAGATCCCTCGGCCCCACTCGTTTGAGCCTTACCAGAACCACCCTACCTCCCCCAGGCTATATATTTTCATCCCCAATTACAAGTAAATTGAGGCTCAGGGAGCTAGTTGGCAGAGACAACTCACTGTGCTGAGGAATGAGCAGGTTTAAAAAATTAGGTAAGGAGCTGTACTCCCCACTGGAAAAATTTCAAATCGAGCAAAGATTAATTGTAAAATATGAAAACCCCATCCTAAGTAAAGGTAAATGAAACCCCAGGAAAAGTAACTTAAAGACCAACAATCCCAGAGAAAAAATCTGGCAAAGGACGTAACTAGTTAAAGAACAGATATCCTAAGACATGAAAAGATGCTCAGCCCCTTCTCACTTGTCATACTGGCAGAACCTGAGATACGTGAAAGCAGACTGCTGACAAGACCGGGGCGGGGCAGACGCTCACACGTTCCCAGTATGACTACAAAATGATCCAGCCTCCATGGATGAAATCTGGCAGGAGCTCCCAGAGTTCCAAATGCAGTTACCTTCTGACTCGGTCATTCCGCTGCTGGGATTCTGATGAACATACAGCTACATGCACAAAATGACATCCGTGTAAGATGATTCATCGTGACACTGTTTGAAATGGCAAAAGACTAGAGAAAACTTAAGGTTCCAGCAATAGGGGATTTGATGCACAACTAATACTACGTCCCTACAGGGGGGAGGCCAGAAACCCTGGTGGCACAGTGGTTGGTTAAGAGCTATGGCTGCTAACAAAAATGTCGGCAGTTCGAATCCACCAGCTGCTCCTTGGAAACTCTATGGAGCAGTTCTACTCTGTCCTATAGGGTCACTATGAGTCAGAATCAACTTGACGGCAACGAGTTTTTCTTTTATAGGAGGGAGGAGAAATTTCCAAGTACTCATATGACATACTGTTAAAAAAGAAAAAAAAAGGCAAAGCATAAAAGAGCATACACACAGTATGCTATTTTTGTGTAAGAAAAGACTGTATATTTGATTAAAGAACACTGGAAGTGGAAGCAAGAAATTATTAACAGGTACCTATGGGGGGGGGGGTAAGGAAACCCTGGTAGCATAGTGGTTAAGAGCTACGGCTGCTAACCAAAAGGTTGGCAGTTCAAATCCAGCAGGTGCTCTGTGGAAACCCTATAGGCCAGTTTTACCCTGTCCTGTAGGGTTGCTGGGTCAGAATTGACTCGACGGCAGTGGGTTTGGTTTTGGATGGGGGGCAGAGGAGAGCAGATGAGGACTGGGTAGAACAAAACTTCCAATGCACATCTTTTTATATGGTTTTGATGCAAATTAAACCATACAGATTTTTTTTCATCTCAAGATTGGCAAAATCCCTCAATTTAATAACACCCTCTTCTGGCAAGGCTGTGAGCAAGCAGGTGGCACACAGGTGCCGTGCTGTGGGAGCATCCACTCTAGCAGCCTTTCTACGGGATGGTATCAGATACACTCTGACCCTCAGATTTACCTATCCGTGATTCTTCAGATACACCTGAACACCTAGGGAATAAGGTTATCACGTTTTATACTGAAGCAGTATTTGTTATAACAAAAGATTGGAAGCGTGCAGATGTCCATTACTACGGGGTGAGTCAAACCAGACACATACTGTGGGGTACCACTCAGACACATACTGTGGGTACCACTGAATACCATGTGACGCAACAGAGTATGATACAGGCACTGAGAGACACTAAGTGAAAACAGCGCGAAATAAAAATACACCTTTTGTGTTTACACAACCAAAAATACACCTTTTGTGTTTGCACAACCAAAAATACACCTTTTGTGTTTGCATAACCAAAAATACACCTTTTGTGTTTGCATAACAAAAAAAAAAAAAAAACTTAACCACTGTGCCACCAGGGTTTCCCAGGTTTGCATACAGACCTGGAAAAGTTAATAAAAACGTCTGCTTAAGTGTATGTTTGCAGGTGAAGGATCAAGTGAGACATTTTACCATACATTTTTTAATACCGTTTGGATTTTTGAACCAATTAAAAGCATTACCAAAACCTAAGAAGGTTACATCAAAACACTTTTTATATTCAAACAATTATAGTATAGCTTACAATGTAATCTTTTAAAGATAAAATGGATGTAAGCTACATTTCAGGCCTGCAGCTAGCAGCTTTGGGTTATACACCCTCACGTTCCTGGGCTACGCTCTCCTCAGCTCTTCAAGAAATCTGGATGAAAAAGTGTGAGAAACAACTACACCATGCCTCTTCCCAGGACGTGAGAATCAGACTGAGACCCGACTGGGAACCAGCAGGCGGGAACACGGGCACAGACTTGGTACAGCAGAGGGCAGGTGGCTTATAGTGAGTGGACAAAGCCAGGAAAGCGGAGACATGACGTCACTTAGTTGAATTCAACTTCTCAGATGATGAAATGACCGCAAAGGAAGATAGTTAATAAACGGATTCCTTACTTCCTTTATTTAAAGTCAATCCTATATAATCAGAGTGCAAGTCAAAACGATGTTGCTCTAACACAGCAGAAACCAGGTATATCTAAATCAACACAGATAATCCCCACTGAGGTGGTTTGTTAAAATGACATCTGGCAGCAGTACTAAGTGTGAGTAATGCACTTCTAATCATTTCAGGATCACAGTATTTGGTGTTTTCTTCAAAAGGGGAAGGAGTTTCAAACTTGTTTTGAATAAACAGCTTACAAAAGAATGGAGTTTTTATTTTACATAAAATATTGTCTAAACTGAGTCAAGATTTTCATTTATGATACCAATAAAAGGTTCTTAATTAACCAGTTTAAGAGAAGACAGCTTACCTAAAGTAAAAACACAAACAAACAGCAAACCTATGTTATCCTGGGATTCAGTAACTGCAGTCACCTTTCAAATGGAATCAAACGAGTTCAATTCAACTGTCATGTTAAACAAAGCAAACACCTTGAATTCTCTGGATTTCCTACTTCCAGTTTCTAGCTTGAATATCTTCACATCACCTGTTAAAAAAGAAGATGGCACTAAGTAACAGTTTAGGGTTGAAAATGAAGTTATTCGAAAAAGAAAATCATCTGGGATATTAAAACATTTCTGTTTCAAACAATTCCCTTTAATTTTGTTTTATTCATTTAAACAACTTTATAGAATTGATATCACTCTAAATTTTTATCCTGCTAGAGTACATAGGGGGAAACCCCGGTGGCGTAGTGGTTAAGAGCTACGGCTGCTAACCAAAAGGTTGGCCAGTCGAATCCATCAGCTGCTCCTTGGAAACTATGGGGCAGTTCTACTCTGTCCTATAGGGTCGCCGCTCTGAGTGGGAATCGACTCAACAGCAATGGGTTTGTTTTTTTTGGTTTAGCGTACATATACGTTTACACACAATTTTAAGCAGCATGTGTCACTATTTTATACATTTTTAATGTATGAAACATTTTAATGTCTAAATACATGGAGAAGGATGGACCATACACCTATTTTAAACTGATATTTTCAGTGATAGCCCTTTAAAATAGCATTTTAAGGGTATCTGGGAAGTTAATTCATGGGAAGAAGTTTAATACACGTATTTGTTGAAATTCTCTCACCCTGTAACACTAGGAAGACGTTCTGCTGATTTCATTTTGTATCTGGGCTTTTTATGCAATCCACTACTGTTCTCAGCAGGAAAAGCCCTAAGATGCTTTAAAGAACCTACATTGGCTCTGGGAGAGTTTACCAGCCTCACACCCACAGGAAGTACTTGTCTTCCAGGTTTCTTATTGACTCATAATGCTCACAAGCCTACAATTCATCAAGAAGATTGGCTTGGCTTTTTATTTTAAATGAATGCAATGCAAATACTTTTTTCAATCCACAGTTTATACTGTTCTACAGAAAGAGGGCAAGGATCTAGGTACACAGCTGATTATGACATTGGGGAAATTTCCCTTTTATACTAGTAATCCAAGCATCAGTATTACTGAAGATGACATCCTGACAAGTTGTTTTTAAACAACGAAATTAGCTGGGAAAGGTGTACGTGGACTTTTCTAACAAGTACAACACGTTACACCACCAAACTTGTTTTCGTTCCAGCCAACATCCTGTGCTTTGTAAATCACAAAGAAGAGTTTACACCAAGCCTCTAAGAAATTGTTTTTGACTAAAACAATTACCTCAAGTTCTAGTTAGGAATACATATAGACACATATACTGATTTATTCTCAGCCTTCATTAAGCAAAGAAACTTTAATATGCACAGAAGAGACTGGCAAACTAAACTATCTTCCTGGGATTTGGTTACACGAGGTATTTCACCCAAATGGGACCACACCTATTCTGATGCGACGGTTACTGCTGTTAGCTGCAGTCCAGTCAATTCCAGTTCACGGGGACCCCATGTGTGCAGAATAGAACTGTGATCCAGAGGGTTTTCAAGGCTGTGACCTTTCAGGAGTACACTACCAGGCCTGTCTTCTGAGATGTCTCTGGGTGAGTTTGAACCACCAACCTTTTGGCTAGTAGTCAAATGCATAACAGCTGTGCCACCCGGGGATCGTATAATACACCTATTCTTGAAGGCTTATCATTATTATTGTTATGATTCTATCAGTCTTGATTTGGCAATATCTTAAGGTACACAGAGAGGTACTATTTATTCATTCAAGCCCCAGTGCTGTCCGAGGGTCACTGAAAATTTTTTCCTTAAGAACAGCTCTCTTTGGGAATGCTCTTCTTGACCAGTCCTATTTGGAAAGCTTGACCAAGTCGTAAAGCTTCCGTTCCAGCATTACTGAGGTCAGACCAAAGGTTCGCTTCAGGAGATTTTGTCATCGTGCATCCAGGGAGAGCAAACTGCTTATGGAGACACTGCAATTCGGCCTTTTATCGTCATCATTCCTCAGTGCCAGCCAGGACCGACCTCCCGGGAAAGTCTCTGTAGGTCAAGATCCCTGAGACAGCGCGCGAGAGCCCGTCATTGCCTGCCGGGGGACCTACCTCCTGGGAAAGTCTCTGTACGGTCAAGATCCCTGAGACAGCGCGCGAGAGCCCGTCATTGCCTGCCGGGGGACCGACCTTCCGGGAAAGTCTCTGTAGGTCAAGATCCCTAAGACAGCGCGCGAGAGCCCGTCATTGCCTGCCAGGGGACCTACCTTCCGGGAAAGTCTCTGTACGGTCACGATCCCTGAGACAGCGCGCGAGAGCCCGTCATTGCCTGCCGGGGGACCTACCTTCCGGGAAAGTCTCTGTACGGTCAAGATCCCTGAGACAGCGCGCGAGAGCCCGTCATTGCCCGCTGGGCGAGTCCCTGCTTTCACATTCTCTGGAGCTGTGGCTTTCTGATGGGAAACTGAGAAGATGCCACTCAGGACGCCACTGGGAGGTAAGCAGGTGTAAGGGGCAGGCGGGGAGCCTAACAGTGCTTTAGATGCACGGATAAACTGCCTCTTTCCAACAGCTGCCTACAATTTTCAAAGCTAAAAAAAAAACAAACCTACATTATTTATGAACAAACAACTTTTATGACATTTGTTAGAAAGAAAATAAAACCAAGCCAACCCCGTCGCTGTCGAGTCGATTCCGACTCCCAGTGACCCCACAGGACACAGCAGAACTGCCCCATGGGATTTCCAAGGAGCGGCTGCTGGATTTGAACTGCTGACCTTTTGGTTAGCAGCTGAGCTCTTAACCACTGCGCCACCAGGGCTACAGAAGGAAAATGATTACTGCCATAAATAATACAACTAAATGTGTCTGATTTCCTACTGTATCTTCATCTACATTCCCCATCCTCTCAGCATCTTCTCAAGTTTAAAGTTGCAGCAAAAATTCCAGAATTATGTGACCCTTCTTTATCATACTTAGTCTATCAGAAAAAAACTTCCATTAAAGGAAACTTCTTTCTCTCTAAGTACTGAAGAGTTTTCTTATCTTCTCTTGCTAAATTCTTTTTCTGCTATTAAAGACTTGTGTTTCTGGGGATGAGGCTGTATTATTCCAGCCTCTTCTCATTTATTATTTAGTTTTCAAACTTGTGAGTTAACGAAAGCTGTAGCTGCTGATTAAGAGGTCATGCTTCTGCAATTACCGAAAATAACTCACCTTGAGCTGTCAGTGTTCTTTTTAAAAGTCAGCTCCATTAGCTACTGGGAGAACTGGTCATTAAAACATTTCTCCCTAATATGTTTCTCAAAATACAAACAGCGAACACCAACTATTTGGTACAGAATCAGAGACATATTTTCCCGTTCCCACTGAACCACGGAAGGTAGATTCCAAAGCGAATGGCTGTCATGGGAACCTACTTTGAAGCTGCCTGTTAAACCAAGGACTCAAACTAAGACAGACTTTCTATTTCAACTGCTCCTCACGCTGAATTTGGCCTTAGAGTTTAACTCGGTAAAAGCACTTGTTTTATTTGCAGAATACGTCACTGTGACTGGCTAGAATCAAAATATAGTAAATAACTTGAAAAAATAAGCTATATAAAACCTCATACCTTAGATACGGCTATAAGAATAAACTTCATAATTTTCTATGAATTTTTTCTCAAAAAATTATTTTTTGCCCAAAAATTAAATGTAAGATATACACAGTAAATAGTTTAGGACTACAATTTCACACTCTATAAAATGACTGTACTTCATAAGGAGAAAGAGCAGGGTGGGTGTGGGTATGTGTGGGTGGGGGTGTGTGTGTGTGTATTTACTTAGACACTAGAAAACACAAAGAGCCGTCTCCAAAAGCTTGACATTAGTCTGCTCCTTTAACCTTCAGGGAAGAAAAACAAATAAGAGGGAGGGAAGAAAAAGAGAAAATGATAAAGCAAGGTCATCGTATTAGCTTTGCTTAAAAACGAATCCAGAAAATTGGTTACTTGTTTATTTTGTTCCAACAATAACAAAAATAAAAATTCTTCATCACCCGTTTAATTTTAAAGATTAAATTGTAGTTGGAATCAATATCATATATACATCATTTTTAAAAATCCAGTATGCCTACTCAATTTCCTTAACGAGGCAACAAAGCACTTAATGCTCCTGTGCAATACCGGGTCTTAGCTTTTTTTATTTGTAGGAAAAAAAACGGACCAACTCCTCTCCCCATCAAGGTGTGACAAGAAATAAGATAACGAAACAGAAAAATGCAAATCTTCAAGTCATCTAGTGCTTCTCTCAAAATTCCAAATAGAAAACCATGAAAATGTTCTCTGTTTTGGAAATCTCTATGTACAAAACAGATGTGCAAGAAAGCTGTATATTTCTAACCTGGTATACAAGTTTATAGTTCCAAAAAAGAGTCTTTCCTCCAGGGAAAACTCATGAACAATTACTAAACTTAATTACACAATCCCACTTCAAACTAGTCGAAAATAAATGTGCTTTAGTCTAAAAAATCCTCAAGAAACAGAAGTGATCTTGTCTGTACAAGTACCACAGCAGCTATTGCAGAGTTTGGAAACACCACCCGTCTTTTACGTCAGTGTGTCTTTCCCAGTCATCTTCCCTGTAACAGTGTGAAACAACATACAACCTATTACATGTCACCGAGTTTAGTAGGTAAAGGGATGAAGACCATTCAGAAAGTCTATTTAAGAATAAAATATCTTAGCCCTTTTGTATATCAAGCCAGAATCTGAAAAGTAAAAGAATGTATATTACTTTCAAATATACAAACAATGTGCTAAGGTAAAAAAATAAAATGTCCTTTAGTTCAAGCTGGAGCTGTGTCCACGACGCCGCCTGCCGCCCGTGGGAATGCGCACGAGGAGACGGGTCCTCCACGCTGGGGGTCACTCCTGCCTGCTTCTAAAACAAAGCAACAAAGACCACCCGACATCAGTCAGGATATTGCCAGCTTCAATTACACAAACACAGTTACTTATCTGGTGACTGTAATTCAAGAAACAAATTACAGAAAAAACTAAATAAAAGTTACACGCTAAAATTACAGCTCATTTCAGAGAAACAGTCACCAAGGAAAATTACATAAATATCTTTCTCAAATACACTATCTACTAACTGTCATAATTTAATAAACAAAGAGAAGTACGTAAAAGGATTCCCATGTTAAAATGCAGAATAAGAGTAGGAGACGTTTTCTACTATTACTCTAACCAGCAAGACAGCTGATTGGCATGGCGCTACCAAAAAAAGACATGCTCTGACTTGTGGTATTGGAATATGTTTTCAAAAGTAAAACCAATTATCCTCAAAAAACCACCAGCAAACCAAATCTGGTAGCATATGAAAAGGAGTATAGACCATAACTAAGTAGGATTTATCCCAGGAATGCAACAGTGGTTCAACATCTACAAGTCAATCAATGTAATACATCACATTAACAGAATGAAGAAAAAAAAAAAAAATCACAGAATGCAGGGAAAAGCATTTGGCAGAATCCTATATTCTTTCATGATGAAAACACTCAACAAACTTTAGAAGGGAAATTCCTCAACATATTAAGGGGCATTTATAAAAATCCACAGCTAACAGGGCAGCAGTGAGAGACTGAGAGCCATCTGCTCATGATGAGGAACAAGACAGGAAGTCTGCTATCACCACGGCTCCTCAACGACGACTGCAAGCTGCAGCCAGAGCAATTGGGAAAAAAGAGACACAAGGCATCCCAACTGCAAAGGAAGGAAGAAAACGCTCACTCTCAGTAGATGACATGATCCTATATATAGGAATATATGGTGGCACAGTGGTTAAGAGCTTGGCTGCTAACCAAAAGGTCGGCAGTTCGAATCTACCAGCTGCTCCCTGGAAACCCTATGGTATGGTTTAAATAAATCACAGTAAATCCAAAACGTAATACTATGTACCTATAAACAGTTATGAGTATATTTATTGATACAGAAAGAGCTTCATGTGTTAAGTGAAGAAAGCAAGTAACCTACCAGCACATAAACGCTAATACCCCAGATACTTCCTTTAAAAACTTATATATATACTTATGCATACACACAGGAAAACATCTGAAAAGGGATTCATCCAAATATTAAAACGGTACCTCCAGAAGTGGGGTTATGGATGGTTTTCATCTATGCTTTTTTGTATATTTTGTGTATTAACTGTCTTTCTATGACAGAGAACATCACAGTGTTTTATAATCTGCAAGCAACTTACCCAATAGTGCTGTGTTTTCCCCTGCATCATCTTTAAAACTGGCACTGCACTGAAGCGCAGACTCGTTGGTGGAAGATGATGGTAAATTGCTTCCGTCACTTCTGCCCTCATCTTGTATGGCGACACTCAGATTTGCAGCTGAAACACTTCCAGAGGTGGATTCTGGAGCGGGCGTCTCCTGCACGTCTTCAGGCTCTGTCTTAAAGATTAGAGAAAAAAAAAGAAAATACCCTTCTTAAATAACACAATCAGAGCTTCAGCTAGCATCTTTTCCTCATCATTTATGTAAAATATCATTAACTTCTATGAACTAAATTTGGTAAAAAGCACAGCAATGACTCCTTTATCTAGAATTATCAGAAAATGACTACTTCTCAATAAGCACGCTTTCTAAGACTGAAACGCTTTTTATTCTAAAACCCATTTTTCCTTGATACAAGCAATGTCACCTCTGATAGAAAGGGAAGCTCTGTTACAAATGCTTTCCTGCCCTTTGAACCCGTTGCCATTGAGTCGACACCCACTATATAGGGCAGGGCAGAACTGCCCCATAAGGTTTCCAAGGCTGTAATTTTTATGGAAGCAGACTGCCACATCTTTCTCCCACGGAGCAGCTGGTGGGTTCGAACTGCTGACCTTTAGGTTGGCAGCCCACCGCTTAACCGTTGCGCTACCAGGGGGCATAAATCAGCCTGGCTGTCTGCTGATCATTTAGGGCGGCAGCTATGCACTCTGAGTACTTCCTCTCGCTGTTTTACGGTGAGGCACGAGGGTTTCCCATGTGAGCAAGGCTTCTGAACAACAGAGGGCTTCACACTGTATTTTGGTTCACTTTCCAAAAAAAATAAAACCAACTCTGGCTTCCTCCTCACATACAGGGCGTCTTATCAGCTGTTAGTCTGCCCCCAACATCCCTCCTTCTGCCAGTTTGCTGCTTTCAAGAAGAAAAGATAGTAAAAGTGAGGCCGGGAGACTATGAGCATTACTATACTGAATATCCAAATTTGGGGGGTATCCAGAAACCCTTTTTTGATTAATACTGGAGTCAAAGCTTTGCTGTGAGTAGTTGAATTGCTGGTGAAGTGACCTATTAAACGGAGGCTTACTGTAGGAGTCAAAGCGTTGCTGTGAGTAGCTGAAATCGCTGGTGAAGTGACCTATTAAACGGAGGCTTATTGTAGGAGTCAAAGCGTTGCTGTGAGCAGTTGAATCGCTGGTGAAGTGACCTATTAAACGGGGGGTTACTGTAGGTGGTGTGGACGGTTAACGCGCTCGGCTGCGAACCGAAAGGTTGGAGGTTTGAGCTGACCCAGAAGCACCTCAGAAGAAAGGCCTGGAGATCTGCTACCATAAAACCAGGCACTGAAAACCCTGCAGAGCAGATCTTCTCTGACACACCTGGGGTAGTGATGAGTCGGAGTCGAATCAATGGCAACTGGCTTTGTTTTGTTTTTGTAGGTTGACTGTGACGTGTGATTCATAGTCTTAATTTTGTTTCAAGTGAAAACACTGCACAGTGACTGTACCACCGCACCCCTTCTCTGCTGCTCTCCGGGCCAAGGACACAGCTGGCCTTCTGCTCCCCACAGCCGTGTCCACAGCCCGGCTCTGCCTCTGTTCTACAACCCGCCCACCTCTGAAGCTCATACACTACTTTCTAATCATTAACTAAACACCCTCAAGAATGTGACAGTTTCCCTCCTACTCTGACTCCTGACACAACAAGCAACAGATCCTGTGGTCTCACGATAATGCCCAAAGTCCTGCTCAGGCCGATCCCAATCTGTTCTCCAAGCTTATCTAAACAGCTGCCAAACTCAACTACCTGCCAGTCTGAAACCCCACGAACGTTCGCACCTCTGTGGACACACCATCAATTTGCAATATACTTATCTGTCTGACAAATCCTTTAAGACTCAGGTGAAAGGCCCCTTCTCTGAAAAAACAACCCCCTATATCTTCCCTGAGCCCTGGTGGCACATGGTTAAGTGCTCGGCTGCTAAATGAAAGGTCAGGGGTTCGAACCCACCAGTACTCCGTGGGAGAAAGATGTGGCAGTCTACTTCCACAAAGATTTACAGCCTTCCAAACCTTATGGGACAGTTCTGCTCTGTCCTAGAGGGTTGCTATGAGTCAGAATTGACTTGATGGCAGCGGGTTTGGTTTTATTTTTGGTTACAGCTTCCTTAGAGTCGCCGGGTGATGCAGATTGTTAACACACTCGGCTGCTAACCAAAAAGTTGGATGTTTGAGTCCACCCAGAGGTGCCTTGGAAGAAAGGCCTGGTGATCTACTTTTGAAAAATCAGCCACTGATAACCGTTATGGAGCACAGTTCTGCTCTGAAACACGTGGGGTTGCCACGAGTTGGACCTGACTCGGCGCCAATGGTTTGGTTTCTCTCTTCCCTGCTCCCGCCTGGCAGAGCAGGTCACTCCTTCCTCTGGGCTCTCACAGTACTTCCCACATACGTCTCTGCCTTATCAGGTGTGTGTGTGCGCCCAGGCTCCCTCCCCACAGCAGCCGGCACGCCATCCACCAGTCCAGAATGTGCAATCCCCAAGAGCGGATTTCACCTTTGTGTCCCCAGCGACAATCCGTTAGGTGGCACTCCTCTAACAGATGCTCGCTGAATGCATGGAAACAAGAGTGATAAGTGGGACATGAAGTGTGTTTGAAGGACTGTTGGTGACTCTCTCGCTACCTCTGTGACGAAATGGAGACCAGTTAGTACACGAGAGTGTTTCACAGCCACTTGTAAAATCCAAAGCAGGAAGAGCCACTGGGTCTTAAAAAAAAATGACCTATTTGTCTAAAGACTGGAAAAAAAAAAAAAAAGAAAATTAACAGCAGGACAAGTTAATTCTTAGTTTGATTTTGCAGTTGCTATAGGTTTCTATCCTTCAAAAAAGAAATCAGGCTTTTTCTGGGGATACACATTCTAGCTCTTCTGAAATTAATATTCTAAGAAAGTAACTCAACCTTATTAAAACAAAGAACTCCTGATTTTTAATAAGTGAAATATGTATGTAGACATATTTCTAAAAGCAAACCTCACGAGGATCAGTCTCGGTGCTAAGATCAGTGAAGTTTTTACCGTCAGTGTTCTTTTTCTAGACACGAACAGCAGGTTTAAAATTACTGACTAATGCAGAAAAGAAATTAACACATGCTTCAGAGTATATTTAATAAAGGAAAAAAGTTCTAAAACTTTGCCAGGATAAAACAGTCTTCTCTTATTTAAATAAGCTGTCCTACAAAGACTCATTCTCTAAGCTGCAGCCCCTGGAACAGAGAGGGGATGAGTCGAACCTACTGTGTCATGCTAAATAGAACCAGGATTACTAAAAACTAAAAATAAATGAATGTTGGAAGTTCCAGAGGAAAGAAAACCCTTCCAGACATCAAAGCAGGGTGAGGTGGTAACAGCACGGTTCTTCAGTGCTGACCGTCTCCCCTCATGGGGCCTTACAGCCATGACCTTCTGGGAGTCACCCTGAAAAAATACATGTAATTCACGGAAAACGAAAGCAGGTACTGAGGGAGCAGCGTCTTACGTATCTTCTGAAGACATGCCAAGCTACATGATGAGGGCATTTTAAGCAGACTTGCAGGCTGGCCACTAACTGCCTTGTTCCAAAAGTCAGCTCTTCAGTGATGCCATCCCAGAGCCCTCAATGGCTGGAGCGGCTTTCAGCTGCATAAACAATTATCATAAATAAAACCTCGTTCACTAAGAACTCTAAGAATATGCTTAGCAGGAAGAAAGGTATATATATCTCTCAAAAAACCGACTTGATGGCAATGGGTCTGGTTTTATTGGGTATATATTTAATATTTAAATTACTTTTTTCAAAGATCGTTATTTCAAAACTCTTCATTATTTAGTCAAGGATATTTTGAGACACTCATATCTTGCATGAAAGCTCTAAAAACAACAGAAACAGATTTATTTATTTTCTCTACATTCTCCCTTTTTGGTGACCTAGTAGTTAAGAGGTTGGGCCCTGGAATTTAGCAAACCTGTGTTTGAAAGGTGGTTCACCATTAACTAGCAGTGTGACCTTAGGCGAGTTACTTAACTTCTCTAAGCTCGAGTTTTTAATTAGTAAAATAATGATAATACTAGGACTGAGCTCCTACAGCTGTTCTGAGGATTAAATGCAGCTAAGTGTATGTAAGGCATTTAGCACGGGGCTATTATTATCATCTCTCACTTTGCCCAAACTGTCTGTTTTTTGAGGAAGGTCCTATGACCAACTGTATCTAAATATCACAAGCCGATGTAACAAATTCAACGCAGGATACATTTCCCCAGCACTGTCTGATTCTTAACCCAGAAGCTGGGAGAGCTGGTGGCTAAAAGGGTTCACTCCAGGCTCCTCAGATGTAAAACGCAGACCTTGACCCAGAGAATCTACCAGGCCCTTCCGCTTTGAACGTTTTGTAGATACAGAAGTGACTTGCATATATACATTTTGCAGTGTAGCATGCCAAAATACGTTTCTTTAAAAGTACCTACAAGCTCTTTGGGAAACATCCTAGCATACTGTCCTATGATCACAGATGCGGTTCATTTTTTGGAATGCCTTAAGAATTCATTGTTAATAAAGAGGAAACCTTCAGAGAGCCACAAGGATGTTGTTGTTGTTAGGTGCCAGCGAGTCGATTCTGACTCATAGTGACCCTATAGGACAGAGGAGAACAGCCCCATAGGGTTGCCAAGGAGCGGCTAGTGGATTTGAACTGCCGACCTTTGGGTTAGCAGCCAAGCTCGTAACCACTGTGCTACCAGGGCTCCACAAGGATGTTAGGAGGAGCATTTTAGCCACCCATTCCTCTTGCCTCTGGCCGATAAGAAATTGACTCACTCAGTAAGAACCGGGGCAGAGATTGAATATAAGCGAAAACGTAACAAACCCAATATCCCAGGGCTTTGATGACATCAAGTTTACACATTGGACAAGTTCGGTGATCCAAAAGCCATGGGTCAATGCATGTTCTATGAAAAATATGCCTAAAAAAATTAAGTATGTGTTATTTTTATGTCTTATAAGGGAAGACAAAACATCCTATCAACTCATCTTCTCCTCCCAAGTTAACTCACATAAAATCAACATTCTAAACACTTACTCTAAGTATTGATTTCTATGTTCCATATTAAACAGAACCTGGCACTTCTAGGGAAATGTTCTCTTCACTCTACATAAATAGCATGGTTTATGCTCAGAATCGAGCTTCATTTTAGCCTCATACTAGCTTGCCTTTGTAAGTTACTTGAAAACCTTTTGGGAATAAATGTGGCATAAATAAGCTAATAGTACCTTTATAAACATCCATAAAATGACTCAAATGGAAATCTAGCAAAATATTAACAAGTCATTTTGGGGTGGTAGGCTTAAAAATGACTGATTTCCTCTCTTATACATTTTTTGTATATTTTAAATTTTCTATATTAAGCACTTATCACCTTTGGAGTCAGGAAAAAAAAAAAAGACATCTATTCTTAACTGATTTAGTCTTAGCTGGCTAACTTCCCCTCCAATGTGATGAATCTATGTTTTCTATGCATGATGAAGACATGGAGTTAAGAGAGTATGTATGGGTTTTAAGAGTCAGGCAGATGGAGCTCAAATACCAGCTCTGCTGATTGATGGCTGTGTGCTTTGAACTAGTTATTTAACCTCTCTGCACTAACTTTCCTCATGTGCAAAATGTGGGAAAGTAACAGAACCTACACCAGAGGGCTATTCTGAAGAGTCAACACTAATGTGCTTCTAACTGCGCCAGGCACACAGCAAATACTTAATAATTGTTTGCTATTGTTATTATTTTTTTAATGTATGAAGACCTTTTCTCCAAACAGAAATCTGCTAATGAAGTTAAAATAACAGTACTTAATTATATAACATAGCATATGTAGTCCAGCTTGTCTTCTGATCTTTCCATCTTCAAACTGAAACTCACCCAAGGGAAAAGTCTTTACAAAAACACAAGAGACACTCGTTGGCTTTATTGGGGTGGGGGGTGGGGTTGTTATAGGACGTTCTGGAGAAAATGGGGGAGAAAGTTAAAAAACCCACTAATAACCAGGAAATACTCTCTGAGGGTCGAATAACCTACATGCGCAAGTCTGCTCATGGGGGTCAAGTGCAGACCTGGCGCAATGCCAAGGATATTACCTTGTGCTGTAAAAGGATATTAGTTTCTGGCTGCTCATTTACGCAGCATTTTTAAGTCAGAAAGACCTACCCTAAAACAGTCTATAGTAAAAATTCTTTTCTGTTTTAATAATTTTCTTTAAGACATGACCAACTGACCCTAATGCACTAAGTACCCACACCACCACTCCCATATAAATTCCTGTAGATTTAAGCAAGCTACTTGTATTCAGAAAACTTTTTTGTTTTAGATTGTTATTCTGATACTTATTCCTTCATTTCTTTCACAGAGGTATCAGGAATTTAATCTACTACAGAGTACGTGTATATATACCAAAGTACTTTGCAAACATACAGTAAAACATAATTACATATTAACTTGTGACTTGATTCTAACAGGTGTGAAGTATAATTAAAATTGATCAAAGCCTTAAAGCACATTATAATTTTTGCACACAAAGTAAGCCCTTCTGCTAACAAAGCAAGTCTTCTACAAAGTTATCAATTAATAAAGCATCCCACTATTAAAACAGAAATCACAACTTTCTGATTCTAAACCCAAACCCCTAGTGTAATCAGAGCAACCCCAAAGAGAACCCAAACTTAGGGGTGCACGTAACAGCAAACCACTGCCCTCCTGCCCTGCGTCTTGGCGCTCATGTCTGGCACTCTCCTCTGGGTCTCATCTGTCATGCTTCAGTTTCCGTGGTCCCACCACAGCATACTTTCTGCACCACTAAATCTGTAACGGAATGCCCAGAGTTCTAATAAAGCCTTGCTAATAGGACTAAAAGCCAATACATGACCAAGACACCTCATGGGCCAAACAATTCTAAAGCAACACCATACAAAAGCCTTGAAGACAATATGAAAACCCAACCTTCTTTTCTAAAGGTGACATGATCACCAAATGGTAAACATCTGCATGTCATGAAAGACTTGTAACTCTTTTGTCAAACATCTCAAACCTGCCAAGTAATCTTTAAATGTCATCAGTAGTTCTCAGGGGGTGAAAAGAACATACTTGCATGGCAGAATTCTGACAATATCCTTTGCTTTAAAATTTTCAATACACACTGCACAATTTTCGGCATCAACATCAATTCCCTGTAAAAAGAGAAAAGGGAAAGGGTTTACTACATCCTTGGTATCGAGTATTTTCTTAGTAAACTATCTTACTACATTCTGCGGTAACAATGATGGATTTGATTCTATGCTGGTACAACGTGAAGCTAAACACCAATAACCGCACTAGGTATTTGCTTTTTACCCTTCCCAAGAGCTCATCTAAAATAGTTGGGTGAAAAGGAAAAAAATTTTGGTCATGGACAGAGCTGGGGAAAAATGGAGAACAAAATTCTAACTCACAATAAAAGACGAGACTTACTGTTCTGACAGACTGCAGAAACCCTGAGAATATGGTCCCCGCACACCCTCTTAACTCAGTACTGAAGTCACTCTTGAGGTTCACCCTTCAGCCAAAGATTAGACAGGCACACAAAACAAGACTAAATGGCAACACCAGCCCAGGGGCAAGAATGAGAAGGCAGGAGGGGACAGGAAAGCTGGTAATGGAGAACCCAACGTCGAGAAAGGGAAAGTGTTGACATGTCATGGAGTTGGCAACCAATGTCACAAAACAATACGTGTATTAACTGTTTAATGAGAAACTAATTTGTTCTATAAACCTTCATCTAAAGTACAGTTAAAAAAAAAGGAAAAAATTTCATGGCCACCTAATCAGAAATGAACACTGTTTAAATATTAGGCTAGTGTTCTTGTTTTAAGGGCTGTAGAAAAGAAAACGTCTGCTCTACTATGATAAAATAAGTTATTTTTCAAACATAAAACTTATAAAGAGAATGAATATTCAATAAGCTACTGTTTTCTGGAATCATTAAAAAAAGAATAATTTCATTAGAATTTGCTAAAGAACAGACAGATACAACTTACAAATGAAAAAATCCACATGGCTGAATATCTGAAAAAATCCACTCTCACCAGTGAGAAACGAATTATAAATTAAATGATCATTTTTCATCTCTCAGATTGTAAAAAGAGAAAAAGTGCTGGGGAGAAAGCAGTCTCAAGACAAAATTTTCACTTCTAAGAATCTGTAACAGACTTTAGAGTAGTGTTAGCCACTCCCCCACTTCTCTGGGTACTCCCTCGTGTACCAACTGGCCTCATCCCATCAACCAAAGTAGGTGGGAACAGAGTGGTCATCTGACCCAAGACAGGCCAATGGGGTTCTTCCCTGGGATTCTGGCATGGGGATTCAGGACTACCAGTCAGAGTCTGCATGTGGCTGGAACTTTAGCAAGTTAATTTTATGGAACACACCACACTATCCTTACGGAATTATTTAAAAATATACAGTGAAGCCCGTGAGAGCCAGAACTCGACGCGTCGGCCTTGTTTTTCTGGGTCTCGCAAGCTTTCTGCCTTTGACAGGGTGCAGTCTTACCACTTTTCTATTGCTCTCTATTACTGGAAAATCCTTGAGTTCTCCTTCTCTGACAGGTTTCCACCTTACACAGGTTCTGAGTTTTGCAGGTGTTACTGTATTTAGCCATGAGTATCATATGTTAACAAAGAAACAGCAAAAATTTGACTTTGTACATATACACTGTTATGAGGAGCCCTGGTAGTGCAGTGGTTAAGAGATCAGCTGCTAACCAAAAGATAGGCAGTTCAAGTCCGCCAGCCACTTCTTGGAAACCGTACAGGGTAGTTCTACTCCGTCCCGTATGGTCGCTCTGAGTCTAAAGTTTGATGGCCATGAGTTTGGTTTTGGTTTTGGTTATCAAACCTTGTATTAAAATTAACTTTATAGCAACATTTTAAATAACATCTTGCATCTAAAGTAAGATATTATCACATATTTACCATATGCCATGCAAAAGTGATGAAATGATTTTTAAAGTCCCTAAGGGTTTGCAAGTTTATACATTTAATGCAAATGAGTTCACAGAAAAGAAAAATTAGAAAACAGATACCAAAAAAATCTGTTGCTGTCGAGTTGACTCCGACTCATAGTGACCCTATAAGGACAGAGCAGAACTGCCCCATTGGGCTTCCAAGGAGTGGCTGGTGGATTTGAACTGCTGACCTTTTGGTGAGCAGCCATAGCTCTTAACCACTGTGCCACCAGGGCTCCCAGGGAGACTGATGAACAAATACCAGTCTCCCGTAATGTACGACATGCGGATTTCAGCAAACACAACATTTTTTTAAATATACGTTTAAAATGTAAAACAGAAAATCCATGTATTCACTACATGGATCCTTTAGGGATCCTTTCTTTTTTTTTTTTTTTTAAATCATTACTTTGACAACAGTCCCTAGAAATATATTTTAAAAAATGTTCTGTATAGTAGGAAGATAATAATATAAGTTTATGCATGTTCTCAAAGACTAATAAGTTCAGTAAATCATACACATGAATCTACGTCTTCTTATATTTAAGGACTGAGATTTCCTGCTAAGCAGAGTAAAAACACATTCCAAGAGGAACACAATACTACATGCTTGTCAAGAAACTGGCTGTGCCAAGTGTGTGCAGAGTCTGTCATATGCTTTAACTGGAAACTTTCTCCCCGAGGACCCTCTGTGATTTGTAAACCAGATGTCAATCTTAAACTAAGAGATAAGAGATGGGGGGGGGGGGCGGGGAGGAAACAGACTTTTTTTCCTGTTAAATGTATTTGCCTGGAAAGAAACAGTCCCTCGCACAGCCTATTAAAATTCAGCTTTTACTACAAGGTAGTAACAATCTTAACACCAACAGTGGATGCAGACCATCAAGAAGCAAAGTGTGCCCATCCTACAGGCCTTAATTTTCTCAGTATTAATCCTAAATATTTCACTTTCAAATATCTTTTCATAGGGTTGCCTTTTTTTTTTTTTTTTTAAGTGAAAGCGTAAATATACCCAACATATATTTATTTTATAAATACTGAAAAGCTTTCTGTTACCCATGTTATACCTTGGATCTATTTTCAAGCCCCCTTTACAATTTGCTTAAAATTCCTTTTTTATTGCAAAACAAAAATTTCAGAAACATTAAAAAGACCACCCTGGCCTTCTAAATGTGATTCCATCAATTCAAACTGCTTCGACAATTTAGCACAAGCCGAGTTACCGCCGTCAATTAGATTCCGTAGGTTTTTCGATATCTTTAATCCACTTTTTACTTTAACTAGCTTTCACAGTCCTGAAATAAATTCTATTTCGTCATGGCAGAAATGTTGTTGACTCAGAAGAGGAGGGTGAGAATGGCTGTACAACTTGAAGAGTATAATCAATGTCACCGAGTTGTACATGTAGAAACTGCTGAATTGGTTGTTTTGCTGTGTATATTCTTAACAACAACAAAATAAGTAAAACAAAAAATGTTGTTGTTGTTGGGGGCTGTCGAGTCAATCTGGACTCATAATGACCCCATGTAACAGAGTAGAACCACCCAATAGGGTTTTCTAGGCTGTAATCTCTATGGCAGCAGGAATAGCATTGCAAAAGCTGAAGGTCTGAGATAAAGTAATGCATGCGGGAGAGAGTTCTCAATAAGACTTTTGAGTACTGTATTCCACATGCAGAATAGTTCTGAGCAAGCCAAATCATCCAAAACATAATTTAAAATTCTACAGAGCCAAAAAGGGAATTGCATTTATTTCTGAGTCCTCCTAATTTGCCCGTGCCAACCATAAAAACATTTCTGTTTTGCATAATAGCTTCAGATTTCTGAAACATTTACATTCCTAGTTGGTACACTGTCTCCCCTGCTAAGGAGCCTATAATTCTCCTTATTGGATCACTTCAGCTATAGTACTAGAAGATAAACCAACTTTTCACATTGCTTAGTTCATACAGAACCCCTTCAATGGGCTTTACTGTGAGACGCTAGGACTACAAAAACCAATAAATAAAGAACAGGTAGTATTCTGTCTGGGGGCAGTGGCGATTCACTGGTAGAATTCTCACCTTCCATGCGGGAGACTCAGGTTCGATTGACAGCCAATGCATCTCATGCACAGCCACCCCGTCTGTCAGTGGGGGCTTACGTGTTGTTAGGATGCTGAACAGGTTTTAGCAGAGTTTCCAGACTAAGACAGACTGAGAAGAAAGGCCTAGCAATCTATTTTCCGAAAAATTAGCCAGTGAAAACCCTATGGATTGCAACTGTCTGATCCTGTTGTATACGGGGTCTTCTTCTGGACAGTAGCCAAGGGCTTAATGGTTGACGCACCAGGGCTCCTTACGACAACAATATAAGGTTTATTTATCGATATTTTATTTAGAATTTCTTACCTATTGGTTCAGATTCCTCTTGTTATCTTTGCAAGGATTTGGTATTAGAATTTTGCTAACTTTATGAAACAAATTGAGACTATTCCTATCTTTGTATGACACAGAACACAGAGCACAGAAATTGTCTGATTTTTAAAGGTTTTACAGAATTCACTGGTACTTCTGAAGGGGATCAACTGTGGACAAGATACTTTCTTCTACGCAGACTGACTTACTCAGGTTTTCTACATCTTTTTTAGATTAATTTGATAGTTTTATATTCCTAAAAGATCATCCATTTCACTTAGATGCAGCATAAAGTTAGATACAGTGTATTTCTAATTTCCTCAAGCTCCTCGTAACTGTGTTCTAAAGAGATTTGTGTATTCTTTCTTTTTATCTTGGATAGTCTTGCAAAGGAGTCCTGGTGGCACAGTGGTTAAGAGCTAGGCTGCTAACCAAAAAGGTCAGCAGTTCAAATCTACCAGCTGTTCCCTGGAAACCTTATGGGGCAGTTTCACTCTGTTCTACAGGGTCGCTATGAGTTGGAATCAACTAGACGGTAATGGGTTTGTTTTTGGTTTTTTTTTTTTGGTTTAGTCTCGCAAGAAAGCACCAACACTTGATTGTTTTTATTTACCAATCCCCCTGGGTTTGTTTTCTAATACACTAATTTCTGTTTTCCCTTTAACTTTTTGTTATTGTTGTTATACTGTTGCTATTTTTCTAAGCAATTTCTTTTATAAAACTCAGTTACAGGCGAAGAGAGAACCAAAGGGGATTTTTCATGTAAGAGCAACTGACCTTGGGAGACAAGAGTAGACAACCATACAAGTACTAGAATATCTTAATATAACTAACCACATCAACCACTAATACCAGAGTCTGAATTTCGGAAAACTGCAGGTCTGTAGTTTAATGAGTGTTATTTTTGTTTTAATCCTTTAAGTAGGTAAGAAGAAGAGATCTGTACCAGTATACGTGCTTCTGACCTGGTGGCACAGCGGTTAAGGCAATCAGCTGCTAACCAAAACATTGGTAGTTTGAAACCACCAGCTGCTCTGCGGGAGAAAGATGTGGCAGTCTGCTTCCGTAGAGACTTACAGCCTTGGGAACCCTATGGGGTCGCCAGGAGTCAGAAGCGACTCGATGGCAGTGGGTTTGGTTTTTGGGGTTTTACATAAGTGCAGTTACTTTTTTTTAAGGAGGAATGGAGATTGGAGGGTGGAATACACTAAATCTCAACAACTTAGTGAGATGAAAGGAAAATCAAAACAACTATCACGTAGCCCTAAGTCCACAAAGTCACAGACATCACGCAGCACAGCAGACAGACCAGGAAGACAGCAAACATCACTGCACAGCAGCACTTGTCCTTTTAAAGAAAGGATCTGAAGTTCCAGACGCAGGATTTGTCCTAGTCAAAAAATACTTTAAAACTCTGCTGTGATTTTGAACTTTTATGTCTCAGGATGGCCATGGCAAAATGTTTTTTTTTTTTAAAATAGTTTTAAAAATGCCCTTTCTCAAGATTAGTCCAAAGGACTAATTGTCCACAGCTACCAAGGCCTCCACCGGACTGAGTCTAGTACAGCTAGATGGTGCCCGGCTATCACCACTGACTGCTCTGACCAGGATCACAACAGAGGGTTCTGGACAGAGCTGGAGAAGGATGTAGAGCATAATTCTAACTCACAAAAAAAAAAAGACCAGATTTACTCGCCTAAAGGAGACTGGAGAAACCTCGAGAGTATGGCCCCCAGACACCCTTTTAGCTCAGTGGTGAAGTTACCTCCGAGGTTCACTGTTCAGCCTGGGAGTGGACAGCCCCGTAAAACCAAATGAGACTAACGAGGTACAGGAGTCCAGTGGCAAGGGCCAGAAGGCAGAAGGGGACAAGGAAGCTGGTGATAGGGAACCCAAGGCTGAGTAAGGATATTGTTGATGTGTTGTGAGATTGTTAACCATTGTCATAGGGCAACATTTGTAGTAACTGTTAAATGAGAAACTATTTTGTTCTGTAAGCCTTCATCTTAAGTGAGAATAACAGCACAATTGGAAGAGCGTAGTCAATGTCACTGAACTATGTACGTAGAAATTTCTGAAACGGTGTATCTTTGGCTATGTGTATTTTCACCAAAAAAAAAAAAAAAAAAAAAAAGTTTGAGAATTTAGAGGGTTAATATGTTGTGGGGTTGTTAACCAATGTCATAAAACAACATGTGTACTACTGTTTCATGAAAACTACTTGTTCTGTAAGCCTTCACCTGAAGTAGAGAAAAATATATATAAAAAAAAAAATGCCCTTTCTCTCCTTCTCCACCAATTCCCATATCTTCTCCCTATAATTAAATGAATCAGTCAGATTTGACAAAACGAATTTAAAGTACCAGGAGTCTGCGGTATAGACTTTAGGGTCTTCAGCATCTTTAGCGTCAGCGGGCTCTGAAACAGCACTGACGGACGGACAGAACTTTCTTCTGTGATGGAAACATCTGTGCTATGAAATGTAACCAGTGTGGCTCAGGCACTGAATTTTAACTTTAATTTAAATCATTTAAATTCACATAGCCACACAGGGCTAGTGGTTACCACATTGGACAGTGCTGGTCTGGAGGGCTCTCTGCAAATGCACCAGAACATTCTTGCGAACCTTTCTTTAAAATAAATACATGTATGAAAGTTAGTCCTACCTCAAACTAGCCAAAACTCCACATGTTCAATACTGTGAATTCAGCAAATTAGAAAGATTTCTCAGACACACAAACAGATACATACTCTAGTCTGAATCTCCCCACCCCGCTCAAAAACCCATGAAAATCTCACCTTTTCTCCACGGTTTACAGTATGAAGTACAAGCTGGCCAATAATTTTCTTAATTTCTTTTCTATGGCTCTTGGGTAGAAAAAAATATTGTTATTATTATTTAAAATTTTAAGTTAAATCACGATTTAAAAAATCATTCATCATAATATAAGCAAGCATACAGGGAAAAGAAATCTCCCTTGAAAAGCGAAGCTGAATGACCACACTGAGAATAGCTAAAAATATACCAGGTAAGTCTTCCTGTACAGAAAAGCCACGGGTAACTCAGGAACGAGTAAGAATATTTATTTTCAATGCCGTATCTGAAGAAGAAACCAATTCTTATGTTTAAATACTGGCAAGAAAGTAGTAAATTGAGGATGGGGGTATCATACACTTTTGTTAACAACCCTAAAAGGAAAGCGTCCTTCCCAGAACACAGGTGGAAGATGACCCAGAAATGACTACCCACCACCTGGGGTCAGGAAGGTCAACTTTTCAGGACTACAGTGTTTAAGTTTGAAATTCCAAAGGCTTGCCTTCAATTGCCCTCCTCTTTGCTGTTACTGAGACAGTGTCTCTCTGTAGATAAATGGCTTTCAAAGTTACTCCACAATGGAGACAGAGAAGCCCCTTCCACTCTGTTCCCCGTCTTCGGACCTAGCCAGGGAACCAGGGTTACGTGGGGACAGGTCCACTCTATCTCATGTCTTTTTGTCATTCCTTTATGTCTGGAAAAGGACAAAGAGGGTATCTGCAGAAGCCAAACACGGGAAAAATGACCTAGATTTAAAAGTATCTAATTTCCCACGAAACAGAAAATTTAACATAGTCCAATTTAAAAAAATCATGTTAATACTTATATATTATGAGTGAAAAGGAAATTTAAAATATGGTCAAATATACAACTTTGAGCAATAAATACCGGAAATATTTACAAACTATTCTTTTAAAAAACAAACTTAAAAAGTTATCACTAATTACCTGATTTCCAAACTGTGAGCCAGTGTAGAGGAAACGCTGTATGTAATAAAATATCAGCCAGGCTAATGAGATAATCATCATGGTGATGAAGGCAATGGCCACAAACACCACCGACTGACTGCTGATGAACTCCTGCACGTGGCGTGTGCCAATCCCTATGGTCATCTTTACGGGAATTCCTCTTTGCACCAGATCCAAAAGTTCTCGTCCTTTTGGGTAGCTAATCATAATTACCACTGTATTCCCTGTCCCTGTAGGAGAAAGCAAAGAAAACAATACAGAGAACATAAACTATATAGGAAATTAAGAAAAATGTAAGAGTACTATTCTCACCTACCCATACACACTTGAAAACTTTGATAAAATGGACAGTTTTAAAGGAAAACGTACGTTAACAAAACACGTTCCAAAAGAAAAAGACAGATTAACTACCATAAAAAAATAGAATAAATCATTAAGAACTATCCCCCCCCAAAAAAAAGCCAGCACCCCATACAGTTTCACAGGTGAATTCTACCACCAAACCTTTAATGAACAAATAATGCCAATGGTATTTAAACTGTTCCACAGCAGATATAATGGAGGAAGTTTTAAAATTATTTCTAAGATATCAAAACCAAAGATGGTAATAAAAAACAAATAAAAGAACCATACAGACCATTTTTACTTATGAATAGTAATATATAATGCCTAAAGCATGCCCATTAAAATTAGGAAGGCAACATGAAAATTTCTGCTATGATCACTATTACTTAACATTGCCCTGAAGGCATGGGGCAGACAAGACAAAAACATAAGAAAAGGTAAAACAATGACTTTTACATGAATCTATCTACAGGGTTGCTATGAGTCGGAATCAACTCGACAGCAATGGGCTTTTTGTCTATAAACTAATGCGATAACCAGAAAGTATCAATAGGATTAAAAAAAACAAACACCAAAGTACTGCATCTAAAGTTCACTTAGGGAGAAATATGCAAGAATGAAAAGGAAAACTTTGCAAACATTAATACCTGGATCGGCCCCTAGTTAATTACAACGGTACGGTTGTAACACATGAAGACAACCAGCATAATAAAACAGACTTAGAAGTCCAGAAACACACCCAAATGCATAAGAGAATTTAGTATATGATAAAAGCAGAATTTCAGATCAATGGGGATAAAGATTATTAAAAAAAAAATAGTGTGGGGGGAACTGGGGGTCATCTGGAGGAAAAAAAAAAGCTGTATTCCTTTTTCATGCCTTATGCCAAAATAAATTCCAACTAAATCAAAGATGTAAGTACATATAACAAAAACTCAAACCTGTTGCCATTGAGTCGATTCCGACTTATAGTGACCCTACAGGACAGAGTAGGACCGCCTCATAAGGTTTCTAAGGAGCTGCTGGTGGACTGGAACTGCTGACCCTTCGGTTAGCAGCCATAGCTCTTAACCACTGCGCCACCAGGGCTCCAAAGTGTGTGTGCGTGTGCGTGTGCGTGTGCGTGTGCGTGTGCGTGTGTGTGTGTATTTTAAGGAAACATAAAATGGCCAAAAGAAATATGGAAATATAAGAAGATATAATATTGGGGAAAAAAAATCTTTGAAATATGAAAAGTCACCTCAGAGGTTCTTAAAAAAAGATTTGACCTCGAAAAATGAAAATACTTTGCATGGTCAAAAGAGAGCAAAAACAAGGTCAACAGAAAACAGTCAACTGGGGAAAAATACATGTAACCAAAAAAGACAAGAAACTAATTTCCTGTTAAAAAAAAAAAAAAAAAAAAAAACAGGAAAACCTCCACTGCCATCGAATCAATTCTGACTCACAGCGACCCTACAGGACACAGCAGAACTGCCCCAGAGGGTTTCCAAGGATGTAATCTTTATGGAAGCAAACAGCCACATCTTTCTCCCTCAGAGCAGCTGGTGGGTTTGAACTGCTGACCTTTTGATTAGCAGCTGAGAGCTTAACCACTGCACCACCAGGGGTCTGTACAACAGAATAACAGGCAAAGGAAATGAACCGTTCCCAGAAAATACAAATGGATTTTTAAATAACAGCTTTAATGAGCTATAATTCACATACCAGAAAACCCACCGTTTTAAAGTGTAGTAGTCCGCGGTTTTTAGTATAGTCGCAGGCTGGGCAAACATCAACACTATCTAATTCCAGAATATTTGCATCGCTCCAGAAAGTAACTCCCCAACAAACGGGTTTTAAACATATGAAAAGCAGTGGTACTAATAAAAGCGTTTTACCTATTACGTTGGCAAATATCAAAATGTTTGATACACTATACGGGCAAGAACCAGCCCAAGCTAGCGCTCTCATCCACTGCTGGGAAGTGAATTATTACAACCTGGATGGAGGGCAGCTCTACTCTGTCCTGTAGGGTCGCTATCAGTCTCTATCCCGTAGGGTCGCTATGAGTCTCT